CCCCAAAACCCCAAAACCCCAAAACCCCAAAACCCCAAAACCCCAAAACCCCTTTCTAAAGTGTCAACATTGACATAGACAATTTAAATTCAAATTTTTTGCGCTAATCTTCTTCATCAAGTCTGATATTGCTCTCAGTTGCCACAATCGATCTATTCGTTCTCATTGGACTCTTGCTCTGGTCAGCATCATTAGCATCAATAGACTTCATCTCGACTGTCTTCTTCTCTTCTTTTACTTGAGGTTTCTTCCTCTTCTGCATAACTTCTTCTGTAAAGTGTTCTATCGCCATCATTTCAAAGATGCTTTCCTTGTGGTCAGAATTCTCCACAGATTTTTTGAAGATAAATATCGGGACGATCACAATCAGAAGAGCTACAATTAAGATAGACCACCCGAAAAAGTTCACACTTAGAGGATATCCTTTGTACCTAGTCTTCGCATCAGTGTTGAATTGGAAGAGAACTCCATGTGCTACTGCCAATGGAATGACATATTTTATGCTGAAGCACCACCAAAACTTAAAGATAGGTTCCCACCATTCCTTTTCATTGTATGATTTCTTCTCTTTGTTTGAGATTAGAGTCATGTACTTGCAGACCTTCCTGACTCCTGAATAAAATACAATATCGAACCATTCAGCAAATGTATTCTGTCTTGAGAATAACCAAGAAATTACTACCAAAACTGGTAGAAGAGAAAACTGTATCAAGATCGTTGTCCATGTGTGTGAATTGTATGCATTCACTGAGATAATGGGCATTATTATTGCTAAGAACCAGAACCCTGAGGTATAAATTATCAATGAGCTAATGCTGACTTTGTTACTAATTTCCTTAACTTCGTACACCCAGCCTACGACAGCTCATTTGAAAATACATATAAGAGATAGGACATAAATAGTCACATAATAATCCGTAACATCTAGAAGGATGAAGCCTATGTCTGAACAATAGAGGAGACTGAATAAGAATCCTATGAATCATATGATGAGAGTTGTGTACATTCTGTCAAGTTTCTCTCCAAGGATATTATCGTGAACAACAGTAGAGATAGCTTCAATCATTGAAGAGACTGAATCAATTCCAATGAGAAAGATCATAAGAAATATCATGAGGCTCCAAAAGTTAGCCCCTGCCATTTCAGCTGCAGCTGCAGGATATGCAATAAATGCTAATCCAAGGTATCCTGTCTGTGTTCTAGCTGGATGTCCTGCATCTCTTAAGTATCCAATCACTGAGAAAGCTCAGAATGCAAAGATAATATTGATTGCTGTGTTAGCAAAGGCAATAAACATGTTATCTCTGATGACAGGTTTAGTTTTTAAATTATACGACCCATAAGCTGTCATGATTCCAAGACATAAATTAAGAGACAAAAATGTCTCAGCTAAAGCATTCGTCCAAATATAGATCTTTTCAAATCTTTCTCCAAACTTTGTATTGTGCTCGCCTGTGAAGAGTATATCCATACCTTCAGCAACCCCATCAAGGCAGAAAAATCTAATCATAAGTATGAAGAGTAAGCAAAATTTTAAAGGAACCGTTCCCGCAACAGCATAAGAGCTTGACCTGACCCCTCTAAAGACAATGAAATAGATTATTGTCCAGACAAGTAGACTTCATAGCCATATGAACCAAGCAACTTCATCTGTTTCCTTTGGCTGTTTATACAGACATGTATCTTTTTGGTACTTCAGAAAATTTCTATAAAAATATTCCTTGGAAGATCCTCCTCCTCATTTGACATCGTATCCTTCATCTGACCACTCAAGAGGGGAAGCAAAACTTAGGAAGAAATAATAAGTAGCCCATGAAAGAATAGTGGATGTATATACTGCAATCCACCATACAGAATAGATACTAGCGAATCCGATGCCTATAGCTCTGGAATTTATTCCACTCATCACACTGACAATCCCTCTTTGATATTTTTGCCCAAGAGTGATCTCTAATAACAACATCGGGATACCAACAAAGAACAAAGCTATAAAATATGGAACGAAGAAAATTAATCCTCCATTCAGATAAACAATGAACGGAAACCTCCAAAAACTCCCGAAATTAATAACAGAGCCAAGAGTTGCCAATAAAAACGAATGCTGGCCTATCCACCTTATTCTCCCTGCATCCTTCACCTCTTCCTGCTCCTTGTGTCTCTCTTCTCCATCAGGATGAACTCTGTTCATAATTAAAATAAAATAAAATTTTCACCAATCTTAACTAGTCCTTTTGGGGTTTTGGGGTTTTGGGGTTTTGGGGAGAT